AGGTTTTGGTTATTTTTTAGGAGTTCAGCGCCCTTGATTACCTCTTACCCACTAGGTTTTAGCTCGAAAGCGATTTGCAGTCTGGGGCGGTTCCCTTGTCAGCGCGATGAATACTATAAGTCTTATAATTTTTGTGTTAGTTACCAAGAATCTAATGAATCACTCTGTGAAAGGATTTCTTTAATAGGAAGAGGAAATGCTGCGAAAGGATTTCTTTTGTGATTTATTGTAATTGAAGAGAAATGATTTTTTATTTTTTCAGAAGGAAAAAAGATTTAAGATTGTCTTATAATTAATTTTTATTTGACTTCTAGCTTTATCAAAAGTAAATGATGTTACAGAACATGCACGTGTTCGCCACATGGTGGCTGATATATGGCGCAATGAAGGCATTGTGGGGTTTTATCGAGGATTTGTACCGAATATATTGAAATATGTTCCAGGTGTAACGATCGCATATGTCATCTACGAGTCAGTTAAGGAAAGAATGTCAAAAAAAGAAGCCAGACAAACGTCTTGAATTTTTTTATTGTTATATTTAAGTTTTTTAAGATTGTTATCTTATATTGGTTTTTTTGTGGTTTTTTATTGTTTATGTGTTAGACTTGTTCAATGTCGCGTAATGTTCGTCGATTCTCATCAGTAACAAAATTTATTGCTATACCTCTTCTACGGAATCGATGACCATGACGAATACTAAAAACAAAAATAAATCCAATAGATTTGTAATCATTTATTGGTTATTCATTCTTACCGATGAATTAATTCTCACGCATATTCGGTAAATCGTAGTTAATAACAAGGCTGACTTGTCTTACATCAATACCACGTGCAAAGAAATCTATTATAAACAATACTCGACTAGAACCGGTTCGAAATTCCTTCAGGATTACATCAAATTATTTTACATCTAGATTACCATGCTAAAACACAAAAATAAAAAATTTATTTGTTTATTTTGTCAATCAATATATGGCCAAGTCCAGTGCATGACATTTAGATAGAGATACGAGAAAATGAAATGCTCGGTAATATCAGCCACATATATCCAGTGGAATAAAATCTTCTCACTTACCAGGGCAGACACTGTAAAATCACGTGCACGCCTTTTTTCTGTTAACCAATCGGCTTTTCGACGTGTATTACAGAAAATGACAGCTTGTGTTATCGTTAAGGTGTCGTATAAATCACAGAGCGTGTCTAATTTTCAGTCCTATAAATCATTTTATGCATAAAATCTCATTGGGAGAACAACAATAGTTTTTCTTTTACCTCATGCTCGACGGTAATATAAAATTGACGAATTTCTTCTTTGTTAATTCTTGTTTTCCCAGAAAAATTTTGACCGGATCATTCATAAATTTAGTTGTTACTATGAGTATATAACTGGGCATGTTAGTCGATAAAAAGATCACCTGAATATTTTGTGGCATTGTTGTGAATATATCATAGATTTGTTTTTTAGAATGACGTGATAGTAGTTCATCAACATCGTTTAATACGAACATTTTGATATTTTTGCTACCTGCACAATGAAAAAAAGAAAGTAATTAAGAGATATGACGAAAGGAAAACAACACATGAAGAGCATTTCGATTAAGCATATCATCGACAGGACCAGGTGTACCGACAACAATTTGAACACCTCCTTCGAGCCGTCTTATATCCTCATGAACATTCGTACCACTAATACAAGCATGACATGTGGTTTTCCAAGGCTTTTCATGTGTTTGTGGGCGCTTTCGAAGGATTACGAGAGGTTCCCACAAATTTCAAAGGATTCGGGGTGTTTCTTTTGTACAGGTATTCGAGGCTGCCGAAGATTTTTCAACAGTTTCGGACACTTCTGAAACCAGCCAGGCCACCTTTAGATAGTTTTTAGAAAGAGGACATGATCATTGTACACTTTCAATCTCATAGGACCTACGTCAGTGAGTATAGCCAACAATTGAGAATTTGTTCCATATGATTGCAAAAAAATTCATTTCGTTCTTTAGCTCCCTCAGTGAGTTAGTCACTCATGCTGAGTTCAATAATGAGAGATTTTTCTAATATTAAAAGCTGACGTACTATTTATGTATTTGTATTCTTCACTATTGATTACTGTTGTTGCAACTCAGTGAACGGCCGAACCTGGGATTCCCAGTACCTGGAATGACCGAATCAGGGAACGGCCGAACCGGGAAGGTGCCGGCTCGATGCATGTCCAGCCATTTCTTGAGGTTCCAGGATCGTTCTTCTATTAGATTGTAGAATACGCATAGTGCTTCCAGTATTAAAAGATCAGTCCTCAAACTATTTGATATTTTAGGAGATAGACCCGTTCCAAACGGGCTTTTTGGCAAATATTCTACTAGGCTGTAACTTCCAGTGAACATAGATGCCTCTATGAGTAGTAGCTAAAGTAAAAATTGCAGACCTCTACCATGTTCCAGCCACAAAACTTAAAGCTTCAAAATTACTTGAAAAATGAATTTTTGTGCGTATTAGAGAGTTGATAGAAAATCTAGGACTCAATATTTTGAGCTGAATTTTGCTTTGCTAATAGAACTCATTAATGCATATATCTACAAAAAGTTTCAACACGATTAGTCAAATCATTTCGGAGATAGGATCACTCAAAGGCATCCTTCAGGAGGACCTTCATTTTTAACGCTTCCAGTAAGTTAAGATCTTCATAAAAAATCAATGGTTCAATTTTTTTTTATGCGGTTAGCATCAAAATTCATCCAACTCTTGCAGCTATCACAAATCCTACAATAAGCAGATAATTTTCAAAAACATTTCTTTTAATCATGAGCAAGTGCTAATTTATCTCATCGCTCTTCTTCGAAGCTTTACAAAGTTTTTTGAATCGATAGATTTAGCGCGA